CATTGTTGTTGCATGATTTTCTGCATCATTTCCTTCATTCAAGTGTTGCAACTTATCAATTACTCACTTTCAATTTTCTGCACTCATTTCGCTGCATTATATTCTGATTTCTGCACTTTTGCTGCATAATTCTACAGAGAGACTTCAATTCATTCTTGCTATTTCGTTTGCTCAATTTGCTTTCAATTTATTTAGTTGATATCTAGTGCATGACCCAATCAAACCCTGGAGATTTGTATCCATTGGACCAGGAAATTGATAGGACTTTTCATAGAAACATTAGGACACATAAGAATCACTCTAATCACTCTGAACACTCTGAACCATCATCATCCCCCACTGCATCGTTGCAATCTGTGACTCCAATTTCTATTTACTCTTCTACATTTTCGCTTGACTCTGGTTTTGAGGCAATGGCAGGTGATGAAAGGACTCTTAAGGAGCTAGTTGCACCGGATGTCACATACCAAACATTGTGCATCTAATATCCAGATGTGGACGCTCCTTTTGTTTTGAAGACCAGACTAATTCACCTTCTACCTAAATTCCATGGTTTTGCAGGAGAAGACCCTCACAAACACTTGAAGGAGTTTCATATTGTGTGCTCTACCATGTGACCTCAAGGTGTCCCAGAGGAGCATGTCAAATTGAAGGCCTTCCCTTTCTCATTGATGGACACCGCAAAGGACTGGTTGTACTACTTTCCACCGAGATCAATAACAAGCTGGGATGCTTTGAAAAGACTCTTTCTAGAGAAATTCTTTTCAGCCTCGAGGGCTGCATCCATAAGAAAAGAGATTTGTGGAATTAGATAGCTAGAGAGGGAAACACTCTATGAATACTGGGAAAGGTTCAAAAGACTATGTGCTAGCTGCCCCCACCACCAAATTAGTGATCAATTGTTGATCCAGTACTTCTATGAGGGACTGCACCCTATGGACCAAAGCATGATAGATGCCGCAAGTGGAGGGGCATTGGTTGACAAAACTCCAGTTGCAGCCCAGAATTTGATAGAGAATATGGCTGCCAACTCACAACAATTTGCAACAAGGAAGAACTCTTGTGTTACTAGAAATGTCAATGAAGTACAAGCTGCAGAATCTAGTAAGCTGGAGCACAAGCTTGATGAATTGGCATCCATGATGAAGCAATTGGCTGCCATGCAAAAGAGTACTGCTGCATCATAGCCTCCTCCTCCATCCATTCCAGCCATGCTATGTGGCATTTGCTCATCTACAGATCATTATACTAATAGTTGCCCCACTCTGTAAGAGTCTAAAACTCTGAAAGGTAACCCCCAGGCTTATGCTGCAAATATATACACTAACAAATTTCTCTTTCCAAATTCACAGCAACAGCCCAACTGGGATCTATCTTCGAATAGATATAACCCGGGGTGGAGTAACTATCCAAATCTTAGGTGGGGGAACAATTCTCAACAGCAGAACCAGCAGCATGCTAATCAATATCCAAGACATCATGGTGGACCGAGCAGACCCCATCAACCCCAACATCAACCACAACAAGCTCAGCAGCATCACCAATCATCTTCTTCATAACCAAGTGCACCATAGAAAAATGAGCCATCACTAGAGGAGCTCATGAAGCAATTGACCATGAATAACATCTCCTTCCAGCAAAGAACCGAGGCTAGTATCAAGAATTTGGAGAATCAGATGGGACAGCTAGCCTCGTCTCTGAACCAGATGCAATCTCAAGGTTCGAGAAGCCTCCTGACACAAACTATACCAAATCCTAAAAATGTGAGTGCAATCACTCTGAGGTCTGGAAGGGTTATGCAAGAGAACTAGAACTAAACTAAGTAACCTTGAATTAAATAGGTAATTGGGAATCAATATAAGTAATTAGAAAATAACCGAATGAAAAAACTAGAGAGAAAGAGGAAAGTGGAAACAATTCATAATTAAGTAGGAAGTAGTATAGTTAATAGCGAGGGAAATGATAAAATGAGCAATGGTAATATGGCAAATTATTATGATGGAATTGGGTGAGAAAAATCTGAGTGGGTTATATCAAAATTACTGAATTTATGTGTTGAGAAGTAGTGGATGTGTATTGATGGGATTGAAAACTCGTATGTAATTCCTAAATCTTATTGTTTAACAAATTTATGTTGGATGAGAAAGTGAATAATGATTGAGCAGGCCTTGTGAGGGCTTTGATTCTGTGCTTGAATTCCATGTGATCCAAGATTGAGAAAACGTTGGGGAGAGAAAAGAAAATCATGCTCCATGCATCATAACATTTCTTTGAAACGACTTGATGGCATAACAGAGGCACAGCTGTAGGTATTGGAGGTTCGATCCCGAGTAGACCTACGAGGGTGGCGAAAGGGGGAACAGTCGACCTAGATGGCGCAGTAGAGCTCTCTGTGGCCGGGTCGTGACTCTACTTGCAAGCCTTAGACAAGCCCGACAAGAACTCCACATCCTAGGGTCGTTGAGGTCCATTCCCGAAGAGACCCAGTTTGGGGCCAGCACCAGTTTTGGTGTTTTTGAATAAATGATACAAATTCTTTTCTATGCAATTGTGATGCAGGGAATGGAGTCCTCCGATCGCCACACGACTTGGATATGAAATTGTTAACTCTACACTATTGCTGGGCAAGTCGTTGGCAGTAGAGTAAGGGATCCCCATGCATACCATATGCATTAAAATGAGAATTTGAGGGATGGATAGCGAGGAAAGAAACTTGCATTCATGCATCATGTGCATTATTAGTTTGATGAACCTAGAAATTTTCTATGAGAAGTATGAACTGACTTATATTGTATTGATGTTTGTTTTGAGATTGGATAATGATGTGGTTTGGGTGATGGTGTGAAAAGCCACCTTCCTTGGGGTACGGCTATTGGATGTTTGTTTGTGTTTAGAGAACTCACCCCTATTTGTGTGTGTTGTTGTACTTTGTATATGCCTTATACAGATGACCAGCTTCCGAGTGAAGGTATGGATCCTGCCATCTGAGAAGGACGTTTGGGTGTTCGACGCGGCAGCACAGCAAAGCATCTTCCATGGAATGGCACGAGTGATTCATGGACAGGATGTCGGACACTCATAGACCACCCACTTTATGGTTGACACCCCCATCGAGCTTGTTTTCTCCACCCCACCTGGAGATTCTCACCTACCTTATCCTGCCCTTGCAACTACTCCTTCTCCCATGTCTGTTGATCCTCGTACTCCTAGTTCTAGACCAGTACCTGCACCTGTACCATTCCCTACTGAGGATCCTACTCCACCCCCTGTGGCCACTGAGAGAGATGTTCATATGGCAGAACCCTCAGTGAGGAATGATGATGTACTACCCCACATGCTCCCTACCTACCCAAACACCTATTCGCCCTTCACTACAGATCGTTTGCCACCTCACACTGCTGGATGGATTGAAGAGGACACTGAGGACGCTGCTTCTTCTAGCTCTGCTTCCCCGACATCTTCTGAGGAGTCTGATCCCATTGAGGATTATTCACCTTATGAGTGATGTTTGTTGTTTGCTTTTGTCCTAGTAGGGATTGCTCTTAGGGCGTTTGGTTTACTTATGTTATTATTTTGTCTGATGGATTGGATTAATGTTTGTTGCTCTCGACACTATCTGAACATTTTAATATTTCTGCCAAACTGATGTTTAAGTACCTTGAGGTACCTTTATGTCATGAGTTATGTTTATCCTTGTCCCATTGTGTGGTTGAAATTGGGAAGTGAAATGATGATTGTCTATGGAATACGGAATATTAATTGTGTGATTAAAACTCTCTATGAAGAGAGAGCTTATGTTCGTACAAAAAAAAAAATCCTGCTATTTTTAGGCGTCACACTTTAGACCCTGCACAGTGTAATTACACTACAACCGAAAAGGAGTTATTGGCTATAGTCTTTGCATTGGATAAATTCATATCATATTTGTTAGGGTCCAAAGTTATAGTTTTTACTGATCATTCTGCTTTGAAGTATCTACTGAAAAAGACAGATTCCAAGCTTAGGCTCATAAGGTGGATGCTTCTACTTCAAGAGTTTGATCTGGAGATCAAGGATAGGAGCGGAGCCCAAAATCTGGTGGCTGATCACTTGAGTAAAATAGAGGGAGTTTCCAACCCTGTTGCCATCTTAGATGACTTTCCTGATGAGCAACTACTGGAGTTATATACTTCACAGACACCCCGGTTCACTGACATTGTCAACTTTCTTGTTGCAGGGGTTTTTCCAGCAGATGCACCAAAAACTAAGAAGGACAAAATAAGGAGTGATGCCAAACACTATGTTTGGGATGACCCTTATTTATGGAAATTATGCAGTGATCAAGTCATTAGGAGATGCGTGCCTGATGAAGAAATCCCATCCATATTATAGTTTTGTCATGCTTCAGCTGTGGGAGGGCATCAAGGACCCCAGAGAACAGCAAGAAAAATATTGGATGCAGGACTGTATTGGCCTTCCATTTTCAAAGACTCATGGAAAACATGCTCTACATGTGAGAGATGCCAAAGAGCAGGAGGAGTCATTACCTGGAGACAGGAGATGCCCCAGCAACCTATGTTGTACTGTGACATCTTTGATGTCTGGGGTATTGATTTCATGGGACCTTTTCCCCCTTTTTTGGTTTTCTTTATATTCTCCTTGCTGTTGATTATGTATCAAAATGGGTGGAAGCTAAAGCCACCAGGACTAATGATGCCAAGGTTGTTACAGATTTTGTCCGTGGCAACTTATTTTGCAGGTTTGGAATTCCTAGGGCCATCATTAGTGATCAAGGAAGTCATTTCTGCAACAGGACAATGGAAGTCTTGTTAAAGAAATACGGGGTTGTCCATAAGGTTTCCACCGCTTACCACCCACAGACCAATGGGCAGGCTAAACTCTCTAATAGGGAGATAAAGAAAATACTTGAGAGAGTGGTTTAGCCCCATAGAAAAGATTGGAGCCGCAGGTTTGATGATGCTTTGTGGGCACACAGGACAGCATTTAAAACACCCTTGGGAATGTCACCATACAGGGTGGTTTATGGGAAAGCCTGCCATCTACCGGTTGAGGTAGAACACAAAGTATACTGGGCGGTGAAGCTGTGCAATATGCATTATGACTTGGCTGGGGAACAGAGAAAGTTGCAACTGCAAGAGTTAGAGGAATTGCGCCTTGAAGCTTATAAGAACTCCAGAATCTACAAGGAAAAGACTAAGCATTACCATGATAAGAGAATTTCAAGCAAGGAATTCTGCACTAATCAAAAGGTCCTTTTATTCAATTCCCGTTTGAAACTCATGCCTGGGAAACTCAAGTCAAGGTGGATTGGACCATTCACAATTACCAAGGTATTTCCTAATGGTGCAGTGGAAATCAAAAGTTATTCCACCAGCAAAAGTTTCACAGTGAATGGACATCGCCTGAAACAATTTTTGGAGAATTCAGTTTCATTGAAGGAGGTTGAAGAGGTGGATGTGTACTATCCTATCATTTCCTTCAACCAAGGCCCCTGTCATGACTAAATCACTTCACACGTCAAGCTAGTGATGTTAAAGAAGCGCTCTGAGAGGCAACTCACAAGTGAATAAACAATTTTGTCTTTCCCTCACTTCCCTTTTACATTCCTTCAATTATATTTTTGTCTTCATTTGAGGTGTAATGAGCTAAGAAATTTCTGATATGCTTCAATTTTGTGTAAATAATTCCTTGTGGATTCACAATTTTGTAGGAATTCTAGCAGCAGCACCACTTTGGGCACTCATTCTTGCTAGGTACAATTCATCCTTGGTGAAAGTGGCCATTCTCATAAGCTATAGTGACTACTTTGACTCAAGGTAAGCAATTCCTTCTCTGTAGTTCCCACTTTTAAGAGTGGGAGTGTCCACTTTGGCGCCCAGGAGCTCAATCATTTGCGCGTGGACACTTTAGAAACTAATAGTGGCCACGCATAAATCTCCTTACGTTTTAGCCTCTCTGGATTTCCCACTTTCCCAACCAAAAGTGGCCACACGCAAATGAAGTGCAATTTAACTCACTGTAGTTCCCACTTTAGCAATCAAGAGTGGCCACGCGCAAATTGGAATGCAATTTAGCCTTTCTTGTGTTCCCACTTTTCTTGTTTGGAGTAGGCACGCCTACACCCCATTTGCACTATTCCCCTTGGGCCCAACCCAAATTAGCCACTAATTCCTTTGAAAGTAGACACGCTCACCAATTTCACACAATCCTCACCTCACATGACGCCCAGCACGCACCCACTTTCATGTCCCAATTTCACACACCCACTCACACCCATTCACACCCACTCACTCCTAGTCCCAAGACGCACCTTCCCTCACAACACCAACGGCTTCAAGCAAGGTAATTCTCTCAATTTCTCTCCATTCATGGTTAGGGTTCTTAGATTCCCCAATTTTTTATTTTTTATTTTTTATTGAAATTGAGGTGTAATTCTTGTGTAATTGAGCATTCTTACATGAATTAGAGAGGGTGAGGTCCCTAAATTGCACCTAATGGGGTGTATTATTCCCATCCAATTGGGCGTTCCCACTTTTGTCCCCAATAGTGGCCACGCCCACTTCATCTTTGCCATGACTCCCATTTGTTGTTTTTGTTATGCTCTCCTCCTCATTTTTATGCTCTAAACATGCCAATAATGCTATTAAACTTCTTGTTCATGTATGTTAGTGCCTGAATTTGGTTCGTGCCCATTTCCATTTAGTTTTGGCCCCTCCATTTTGTTGTTTTGCTTCTCAATTCCATGCCATTTTACTTTTGCTGCACTTGCTCCTCATGCACATTACATAATTAACCATGATTGTTGATATTTCTGGGTGTTGAACATGCTTTTCGTGACTTTAATTTCACTAATTGCTACATTATGGTCCTAGAGCTTAGAAGCTATATTCTGCTATACATTGGATTGCTATACATAGTGAAGGTATGCCACACCATTCTCTGTGCTTAATTGTTCTTGTCTGTACCATTTGAGCTCTATGCTTTGCCCACAGAATGCCTCTTTTTATGGAATAGAATGTGTTTGTAGGCTATGTACCATGATTGACATTGGTTGCCCTCTGAGTCATATGTAGCACTATACACCTTTTTGCACACAAATTACTTAGGATGGTATCAAATTATTTTGCAGCCCCTGGTTTGATTGCTTGTTGTTGTGTGTTACCATGGAGGGTTGACCCAATTCCCCTGCACTACCCATTCACATATTCTTTCTTCTCTGCAGATAATGTTAAGCAATCTGATGATGGTTTATTTTAAGGTGTTTAAAAGATTTGTCGTAAATCCTCATCAAAATTTAAACAAATTAATGTAGTACTAGGGTAACCATAGATTGTCTCCCGTGAACATTGGTTATTAATCTTCATTAAACATGTTGAAGGCATTAATTGAACAAGCAATTAAAATGGGGGGTTTTGTGGTTTCAAATCAAAATAAAGAGCAATGAGCAAATGAGTTTAATTAATTCAACCAATAGAAAACAGCAATCCTTAGTTCATCCACATAGATTCTATCCTCATTCCACTCAAGATTTAACATTCATCCTCTTTTCCATGAATTAGGTTAATTTAACAAGCGAAAATCAACCTTATGGTCCCAACGAAATTACGCAATTTGTTAGGCTCTAATCTCTCATCCCAAAATTATGCAACCTTAGAATTAAACCTAGGATTAAGCAATCCTTAGTTTAGAATCTCCTTAAAACGAAATTAGGGTTAATTGAGCAATACCCCCCTCATTCACCATTAATTCAATTCAAGAGACAAGGAAGAAGTAATTCATGAAAAGAAAGGAATTATATTATCATTAAATTCAAGGAACTCAAGAATCTATGCGAACTTACTAAGGATTACACAAAATTTAGCCCTCCATGGAAATGGGGGTCAAAAACGCAGTTGGGAAATGCAGAAAACTCATTAACATTAATGTAAAAGCAAGAGAAATGAGAAACCAAACCCTAGGTTAGACCCTTGGCTGTCACCCAAGGTTGCCCTAAGCTCTGGAAAATATCCTAAATTGAGTAAAGAAGAGAAAAGGTTCCAAAAAGTGTAAGAACTCTCTACCCTAATTTGGTAAAAATCTATTTATACTAAAGCTGGCGCCGCCCAAAGTAATTACTTTCATTCTTTCATAGTAAACACGCGCAGCATCAGTTAGGTTTTTCCTCTCTGGAGTGATTACTATGAATTTTCATAGTAACTACGCGTAGCACTGGGACATTTTGGACTCTCTGGAGTTGTCACTATGAATTTTGATAGTAACTACGCGCAGCACCTTCAGTTCTGCATGCTCTGGAGTGATTACTATGAATATTTATAGTAACCACGCGCAGGTTTAGTGGATTCTGGGTTGCTGTAGTTGTCACTTTAAGCTTTGAAAGTGATTACTTTGGTCCCTTTGCTGGAAATGGCTTGTTGTAGTTCTCACTATCAATTTTGAAAGTAGTTACTTTCACCTCAAATTCCTCAAAATCTAATAATTCTTCAAAATAAGCTTGGAGATTCCTGCCATATTATTCAAATGATCAAAATATGTAAAATAAACTATCTAAATTCATGTAAATTAACAAAAAACTAAGAAACCTATATTATTTAGCCTAATTGGAATATTCATCTTATTTACACTATCTAAGTCTATTCTTTTCTATAAAAAGTAATAAATGATGTATAAAAATGTAGTAAAATATGGATTCATCACAATCCTAGAAGGAACACCCCCAGAGCCAAGAGGAGCAGGACAACTGAAGCCTCTTCCTCTCAGCCCCCTCCTACCATGACCCCAGGTTCAGGTCCCCAGAGCATGAACTGTATTTCAGGGAGAACATCCTGAGGCGCCAGATCGTCCAGGACAGGAATTTTGAAATCCACCAGGGGACATTTCCACAGTTTCAGGAGGAAATAGACAGGTGTGGCTGGGGACTTTTCACCTCCTGTGCAGGCAATGGGTGGAAGGACATCACCCAGGAATTTTATGCTAATGCCCTGTGCCTTGCAGATGACCCTTATCCCCCTAGGCACACCATGGTCAGGGGGAAACGAGTTAGTTTTACTCTAGCCATCATCTAGAGGGTTTTAAACATCCCTCCTCTGTAGAAGCAACCTGGCCAGCTGGATTTCACTGTATTTCGCAAACAGAAGGAAAAGGATTACCAACTTATCCTTCAAACAATTTGCATTGAAGGAGAAAATTGGGAATTTGATTGCAGAATGCTGCCCAAGAATCTGACCACCAAACACCTTCTCCCTGCTGCCATGGTGTGGAGTATCTTCGTTGTCAGCTCATTCATGCCATTCATGCCAGTCAGCTCATTCATGCTAGTCATCACACATCCTGAAACGAAGCAGAGATTCCTTAGCCTTTCCTTCCCTCATCACTTTGTTGTGTCAGGATGCAGGTGTTGATTTTGGAGATTATCAATAGAGAATCAGAGCAGTTCCCCCCATTTCCACTGCATTGGTGAAGGATCTATTTAAGCCCCAGAAATCTTCAGACCCAGGCCTCACTCTCCCAGCAGAATTCAGGCCTGAGCCAGCTCTCCCAGTCAAGGAACAGGTGCACCAGATAGCTAAGTGGCAGACTGCCCTCCATGCTCGCCAGAACGCCATGCTCCTCCTACTGGAAACCATGACGCTGAACATTGGCAAGAAGATGGGGATGACTTCGGAGCAGATCTACTACTCCCCCACTGTTCTTGCCTCTCATCTCCGAGCTGCTGCCTAGCATGACCTACCTCCATTCAATCCCCATGCCCCCAGAGATGCCCCCAACTCCAGTTCCTCAGAGGAAGCAGAAGAAGTAGAGGAAGATGAAGGCGCCACCTCATCCACCTCTGATGAAGATGCCATTTAGTTCGTGTTTTCTTTTATTTCTCTGCTTGTACTTATTTTCTTTTATTTTCCCAAGTAATTAGGAACCATTTGTCTTTTTGTCTTTCCCTTCCTGCTTTTATGTTACTTTCCTTCAAACAGTTATATTACCTCCCTTTCGTTCTTTTACTGAACTCTTGTTATCATTGTGCAGAGATGCCCTTAGTTCCATCAAGAGGAGCATCATTTTACCCTGAACTTTGAATACATCATCTATAAAAAGGGGGGCGAACTCTTTGTCCCTGTTTTGCATTTATTTCTCGCTTACTTTTCCTTATTTCATGCTTTCTCTTTTCTTTTTAATCTAGTCCTGTTTTATAATTTTGCTTTTATGCTCTGATTGCATTTCCCATCCAACTCATACTCAGTCTCATTTTTGTACATATTTCCGTTCCTAACATTTTGAACATATTTTCTTGCCGGGTGAATTGTGCTCACATTGTTGCAAGTTCTTGTCATCTTTACCATGGTAGTGAATTGGGCCTCTTACTTTTTTTTTTGTGTGCATATTACATGTATTGTTGCATTCATCCTTTAGAACTTGCCTTGTTTCTTAATTGAATATGCATTGTGCAATTTTCCATCTAGATGATTAAGGTCTTCTTTGCACATACCCCCCCACCCTTGCACCTCCTTTCCCT